TTGCAGCTTCACGACGCAATCTTCGGTCCACCATTCCATGTTCGCTGCCGTCGAATCGTTCGCAGCGGGCACAGCGGCAAAGGGCACGGCAAAAGAGTTCGTCGAATTACCTACGGGCAACACGATCTTGGGGACAATATACACTTTGAGCTTGACGGTCCCTTTCCCTAGTATGCTGGAAAGGCCCCTCACCTCAAGGGCGCCCGAGGGGACCTTCTCGCCAGCTCTAACGTCGGGGCTCAGGGGGATCAGAACCAGCTTGCCTTTCTGGTGGCTCTCTGTCGACGATACTTTCTCTACTACAGCCTTGCCAGACACGTCCTTATAATCTATCTCGATGCTGGGGTCCTTGCAGTGCGCCCACGCCTGCACGAGAGCCCCCCGAACCGCCGAGACCGCCAGCTGCGAGACGATATCCTTGTTCGCCTGCAAATCGGGAGAGGGATGGCTAGACGCGCGCGTGTGAACATATACTGACCGCTGGGCACTTCAAAAAACACCCCCCCCTCCCCCGCGCTTCCCGAATTAATCGGCAGGACGGAGGGCCAGGAAGGATCACGGCTGAGAGGCGGGAATGGGCGGTGGCGGGGGGGTCTTCGGGCCAGCGCAAATCCAACACCACGGGGCGTCTTGCACCCCCCGTGCCCCTTTCCCCCTTCCCCCCAAAAGCTCCGAGGTAGGCCTCAGAGAAAACGGGCGCGCCGAGATGAGGCATGCGAACCCTGCCGCTGGGGCCTTCGGCGGAGCTCCCTATGGGGCCACGAACCGTGTGAGGGGTGCGCCGAGATGAGGGTGGAACTGCATGCGAACCCTGCAAATGGGGCCTTCGATGGAGCCCCCTATGGGACCACAAACCGTGTGAGGGGTGCGCCGAAACGATTTCTTCCTACCGTGCTTCTCCCACCTCCCTCTCACCTCCCTCTTTCTCTCCCCCATCGCGTCTTCGCTCATCATTCGATTGACAATCGGTGCGGGATTTGCTTTGCAATGCACGTACATTCTCTTGCTCCTGCTCCTGCTTCTCCTCGTTCTCCACCCCCCCCCCCCCCTCCTCGCCCTCCTGTTCCATATCCCCCTCCTCCTCGTCATCATCGTCATCATCGCCAGCGTCGCCATCCGCCCTCTCATCCTCCCCTTCCTCCTCCTCCTCCTCCTTCTCCTCCTCCACCTCCTTTTCCCCCTCCACCTTCGCCTCTCCCTCCTTCTCCTCATGCTCCCCCTCCTCACCTCATTGCCCCCCCCCACCCCCCCACCCCCCATCTTCCCACCCCCACCCCATCTTCCCACCCCCTCCTCCTTCGCAGCATGTCATCGGCCTTCCCTCGGCGCTCTCCTCCCTCTCCCCGCCCGTCTCCCCCCCCCGCTCCCGCTTTTCCTCCTCCATCCTTCTCATCTCCACCCTCCTCCCTCTCCTTCTCCTCGCCCTCAGCCTCCTGTTCATCATTCGACTCCGACTTACGGAGGGAGGGGGGAGGGAAGGAGGGAGGGAGGGAGGAGGGAGGAGGAGGGAACGGAGGGAGGAGGAGGGAGGAGGAGGGAGGAGGAGGGAAAGGAGGGAGGAGGATGGAAATGAGGGAGGAGGAGGGAAAGGGGGGAGGAGGAGGTTCGACTTCGGCCTACATACGGAGGGAGGAGGAGGGAAAGGAGGGAGGAGGAGGGGGGAGGAAGGGGGCGGGAAAGGAAGGTCACGGAGGCGACAAGCCGATTTGCTACGGCAAACCGCTGACGCCTCACCCCGCGGTGCCAAAGGAGGGGGCGAGGGGGAAGTTGGGGAGGTTGGGGAGGGGGGAGGGGGAGGGGGAGGGGGAAAGGAGGGTGGGGTCGCGTCCCCATCTTCCTCCCTTCCCTTCTCCTCCTCCTCCCCCCTCCACCTCATTCGCCTCCGCCTTCTCCCTCTGCCTCTCCTCCCTCCCCCTGATCCTCATCCCCTCCCTTGCTCACCCTCCCTGGGGCGCAGCGCGGATGGCCTCGGGATCGACCGAGCTCATCTTCAGGGATAGGACCTGGTTGTTCACGGCCACCTGCGGCGGCGGCGGACTTCGTTGGAAGGATGGGGAGGGGCGAGGAAAGCGACAGCTGAGAGCGAGGAGCAGCACGACGACGAAACGAACGGTGGACTGGACGTAGCGGAGGGTCTTCCTCCTGCCCTTCCACTTCTTCCTCCTCCTCCTCTTCCTACTCCTCCTGCTCTCCCTGCGCTTCTCCTCCTCCTGCTCCGTCTCTCCTCCTTCTCCCCATTACCCTGCTCCTTCTCCGTTCCTCTCTCCTCCTCCTCCTCCTCCTCCTCCTCCCCCTCCTCCTCCTCCTCCTCCTCCTCCTCCTACTCCTCATTCTCCTCCTCCATATCCCTCCCGTCTTCATGCGTATTACTTACACATATGCATACACCACGGCGCAAACACATACAACGTCACATGAGCTCGCACGTAAACCTGAGCACGCACGCGCACGTTTGACTGCGATCGCACTCGCGCAACTGAAAACCAAACGGGCGATGCGCAACGATGGGGGCGAAGCGTCAGCAAAGCGGGCCGCCTGCCACTCGTCTGCGAGCTGGCCGAATGGGATCATCAACCGCCCGACGTCCTTCATGCCGTGGTCCAGGAACACGTGGCCATCGCCCATCTCTTTAATGACGTGGTAGCGGACGCCACTCGGATGAACACACACCCCCTTCAGCTCGACGGTGGAACCCTCCTGGAAGCCCATGGCCTGGATCTCGCGCAAGCTGGGCCCCTTCTCGGTGAACTCCCTGAGCTGAGGTGCGTTGTTGCTGCTGCTGCTCACGTGGCCCTCGAACGCCCATGGTGGTGTCAAAGACTTGGTAGAAGGGTCGAGCTCGTACAAGTCCTTGAGAAATTCTTGGCGAATGGCGCTGACGTTCTCGAATGACTTGCGACTGCGACTTTTCTTCCCATGGATTGTCATCACTGTCCTGATTTCGAGGTCGCCGAGCAACTTGATCTTCGCAGACTTCGGGATGTCCCCCAGCGGAAGCACGAACTCCCTCGCGCACTTGAACATTGCCTCCGCCTCGATGCATTGGATCTTCTTGGCGCCCTTGATGGAATCAACGTCGGCAGAGTTGAAAAGACGAGACTCGCCCCGTTGCACAAACGTATCTGGCGCAGTCAGCGCGGCTTTCGCCATGGCCAGGATATAGCGAGGGCCCTGCGAGAACTCCGCGCCTGCAAGTAGTTTCCAGGTGACGCCGCCAACAAACCTGCGGCATGACAAGGAGCAGGAAAAACCTAACAACTCGTCCAAGAACTGCCCGTCAGCGCCGCCTGCCCAATTCCTGATGAAATCGCACATCGCCTTCCCCTGGCCTGCATAACTCGGCGAATCGCGCTCCAAGTCTGCAGCGATAAGATCCCACTTCGCGTCTCCATCGTACAACTTCATGTTCATCTGGGCCCTCGAGAACATGCCCTTCAACGTCTGCACGGGGGTGTTCTCCTGGAACGTGTCGTGTACCTTGTTCATGGCATCAGCGATCATGGCTGGTAGGCCAGGGCAATAATGTTCAACTGCGCTGCGAATGATTCTGAATGACATCCCGTTCTGCAAGGGATCTGAGAAACTCGGACATTCCGACACAACCTTGTCTTTCGATATGTGGCCATCCTCTGTTGAAACTGACTCCAACACCGCCGACGCTTTCACCTGATGGGCAACGGCCCTGATACTAGCAACTGTGTGAGACCCTGCCACTGTAAGAAACCTGACGTCCTGCCTGCTGACCTTGGCGATCAAACCGTTACTGTTCGACTCCAAGATGCTCTGGAATTCCATCTGCTTGGAAAAAGTGTCGCGGTTCGGACTGACCTCGAATGCCGTAGCGTCCGTGGTCAAGGCGTGCGAAAACCCATCTCGGAGCATCTTGGACAAGAGAGTCTGTACGTTGAGCGGGTCGAGTCCCTGAGTGTTCCTGTTCGATGGGTGCGGCGCGAACCTGTCGACCATGACGTTCTGCTCACGATATGCCAGGCCCGCCGACTCCAGCTGAGACAAGATGTGGTCGACCTCCGCCCTCAGGGGAAGCAAGCCCGAATCCACGCCTTGGCTGACTCTCCACCACCACTTACGCAATACAGCCCCATATCGCGCAAGTGATTGTGGAGAGTGAGCCAGTGCGTGAGTCCAAGGTCCGTTTCCCTACCGAACCTCTTCTGCTTTCGGCCCACGTGAACGTCCACCAAGTCCTCCACCCGTTTGTTGATATGCGGAGCAATCGCCTCCAACTCCTTCAACATCGAAGGCTCCAGTCCAAAATCTGGCGGATCAGAAGAAGCGACCGCCATCTCGTCAACAGTAGCTTGCTGTCAACACGGGGGCCGCTTGATGCGACGCAGTTGTATGAAAGAGGCGCCACACGACAGGTTTTGAGCCCAAAATCGTTGGATTCATCCCGAAATCCCAAGACACACCCATAAATTATCATGTCGCGGCCTCCGAAAACAAACGGTTTGGGAACGCCGCTAACCTATTTACAGAACCTGGTTCGCAATGTGGATAGCGGGGGTCGTATCCACAATGTATCATATTCGCAACCATTTGAGAAACTGCAGGTTATCATCACGAAGCAGGTTGCCCAACTAAACTTAAACAGGTTCTTACAGTGACAAACGCATCGCCCGTTTAGAATCCACACGTATGTGTTAGCGTTTGCGCGATGTTGGTTTGGTATCATGTATAATGTTTGCACAAGATACAACCTGCATGCAGTGTGTATACAATCATGTTATATCATTATATATCCCAATGATCTACTTGCGAAACCACACGGTGATCCAAGTAGAAGTCTCAGAAGTCTCCCGGCCTTCTGGCCAAAAATCTAGGCCTTCACCGAAAGACACAGACAACCTTTCAGGAGGCCGGAGGCCTTCTGAGAAGTTTCGCCGCCTTCTGAGAAGGCCTTTTCCTGCTCACTTTCCCCCCCCCGCTCGCCGCCGAAGAAGGGTCTGGGTCCCTCTTTTCTCCTCCTGGAGGCGGCGTGCCTTACAAACTCGTCGACGACCCTGAGGGTGGCGATGTCGGAGGTGCCCATGTCCGAGTACTCCGCCGTCACCTTGACAGGGCAAGGCCGAAGGACGAAGAGGAGGAGAAGCACCAGCTCCTCCTTTCTTTGGGACGCCTCTAGCCACACCATGACAAGCCTCGACACGGACGTTGACAACACATCACAGTGATAAAGTGAACCCTGCCGTGCTCTGCCGTGGAACTCTGACGGCGTTAGCCGAAACATCGAACCAACAGAGTCATCCAGGAGCATGGTTTCGGCTGCGAGTGAAGATCGATGCTCCTCAGAACGTGTGCTAGCGCCAACATGCGCCGATCCACCGACGCCCTTCAGCGCGACGCAGGCGGTGTAACCCGGGCCGGCACAGACCGTGCGGGGCAAATGCACATCGGGCTGACACACTTCCTGAGGATCATCGAGAGGACCAGTGAACGAAGGAGCCAGGCCCTCTCATCCCCCACGCCTTGGCGGCGCGAACAAGGGGGAAGCGCGACGGGGGCGGCAAGGGGTCTCTCAGACGCCATCTCCGACTCCTTTGAAGTCCCCCATACCTTCCAAGCACGATTAGCTACTAAAGCTACCCCGACGGTAGAGGACCCCACATGATAATATGTCTAGTTTGCCTGACGATGTCCTCCTGCCCCCTCCTCCTACTCCCTCCTGCCTCCTCCATCTCCCCCTGTCTGCACCTGCTGCCTCATCCTCCTCCTCCTCTTCCTCCTCCTCCTCATCCTCCTCCTATGCCTCCTCCTCCTAAGCCTCCTCCTGTCTCATGGGTACGTGTCTAGCGACAGAAATCCGCCGGTTGGAAGCTGGGCGAGGGCTGCTAAAACCGTGGCTGCTAAAACGGCCCTCCCGGAAGAAAAAAAACAACTTCCCGGAATGAGACGCGGCACGCGCAACAGTCAACGGGCGTCTTCCCGGAAGGGCGAAGACAACTTCCCGGAGGCCGATTTTAGCAGCCACGGATTTAGCAGCCCTTGCCCGGCTTCCGAGCCGGCCTCCTTGGTGGGGTCACCATGCTGTAGGGCGAACTTGCTGCTCCCAGCGCCAGTTGCAGTTTCAAGTTTCCAATGTTACAATCCTGCTTTTTGCTCCCTGCTGTAAATGATTGAAGTCCGCGCGAGGGGGGAAGCTCCAAACCGCGCGGCTACCACCCCCGCATCGCGTTGCCTGAATTCCCCAGGCGGTGCGGGACCATCCGTCGTAAATTACGCAATGCTCGCGTCCCCGTGGCCAATAACCCTTGTAAAGTAAACAATTGTTGCGTCCCCGAGGCAACAACCCACCATTAATCATGCAACCTTCGCGTCCCCGCACAAACCTTCGTAAATTAAGCAATTATTGTGTCCCCGAGGCAACAAGCCCTGGTCGGAAGTGAGGGGGTGAGATCGAAAGGTAACGGAGAGCCCCCCTACCGGGAAATCGATTTCGGTTTCGTGTTCGTGCGTGCCGTGCGGGCGGGCGAGGCGAAGCTGCGTGGACGGGCGAGAAAAAGTCTCCTGTGGCTGAGGCGCGGCCGGACCAAATGTCTCCCTTCCGGGCGGCCGGTGGCCCGCGGTGTCCCGCCGGTGTCCCGCGAAAGTCCCGTGTGGCTGAGGCGCGGCCGGACCAAATGATTCCCTTCCGGGCGGCCGGTGGCCCGTTGTGTCCCGCCGGTGTCCCGCGGTGTCCCGCCCGGTGTCCCGCGGTGTCCCGCCGGTGTCCCGCGGTGTCCCGCGATGATGATGATGATGATGATGATGATGATGATGATGATGATGATGATGATGAGATGATGGATGATGATGATGATGATGAGATGATGATCCCGATGAAGATGATGATGTTGATGATGGTGTCGATGATGATGATAGTGTCCCGATGATGAAGATGATGATGCTCATGATGATTATGTTGATGATGATGACAATGATGGTGTCCCGATGATGAAGATGATGATGATGATGAATCCGATGATGTTGGTGATGATGATGTTGATGGAAATGGTGTCCAGGCGGTAATGATGTTGGTGATGATGATGTTGACGATGATTATGGTGTCCCGATGATGATGCTGATGATGATGATGGTGATGATGATGGTGATGCTGATGATGTCCCGATGATGATAATAATGATGATGACGATGTTGAGGATGATGTTGCTCATGATGATGATGCCCCAATGATGATGATGTTGTTGATGATGATGTCGATGATGATGATGCGATGATCATGATGATGATGATGGTGTCCCGAGGATGATGACGATGTTGATGATAATGCTGATGATGAGAACGATGGTGATCATGATGGTGTCCCGATTATGATGAGTATGATGATGCTGTTGATGATGATGACGACGACTGTGTCCCGATGATGATGATGATGTTGATGATGAGATGATGATGATGATGATGATGATGATTATGATGATGTTGTCCCGATGATGATGCTGACGTTGATGATGATGTTTATGATGATGATGCTGACGGTGCTCTCATGATGATGACGATGTTGGTGATGATGTTGATGTTGATGATGTTGATGATGATGATGATGACGTTGATTGTGAGAGCGATTGTGATATCGATAGTGAGATCGATATTGAGACCGAATGTGAGATCGATTGTGTGATCGATTGTGAGATCGATTGTGAGATCAATTGTGAGATCGATCGAATGAGATAGATCGAGTGAGATCGATTGTGAGATCGATCGAGTGAGATCGATCGAGCGAGACCGATAGTGAGATCGATACTGAGATCGATAGTGAGACCGATCGAGTGAGACGTTGGTTCCCCCCCCCCCGAACCTCCTTATCACCCGAAGGGTGGTCGTATAGGTAAAGTATGCAAGTTTCGCGTCCCCGAAGCCATAAGCCTTCACACATTACGCTGTGTTCGCATTACCGAAGCCAAGAATGCTCCAAGGCGCCCGAAGATGGTTCCAAGACGGCCTCATAGGACCCAAACAGGCCCCGAGAGCTCCAAGAGGCCGCCCGAGAGAGCCCCAAGAGGTCAACATCGTAGATTTTACGAATGTGTTTGAAGGATTTCGGCCTTCTCTCATTTTCGGCTTTCCGACGCTCCATGACGGCTCAAGAAGCTCCCAAGACGGCCCCAAGACAGCCCAAGACGCCTCCAAGAGGACCCCAAGACGGCCCAAGCGGGCTCCAAGATAACCCAAGAAGCGCTCAAGACGGCCAGAGAGGGCCCTGAGACGGCCCCAAGAGTGGCCCAAGCAGGGGAACACGAACCGAACATTCGATATTTGAGAGAGCGTGATCCACCGCTGCTTTACTGTGGAAAATTCCCCCCCTCTTCCTCCGTAACCCGGGGTTCCCCCCCCGTTCCCCTCCGAAAATCCTCCCCCTCCCTGCTGGAACCCCCCGACCCCCGCCCCTTCCCCCCGGCAAAACCCCCCTCCCCCCTCCCCCCCCCTCTGGATAACCGGGGGGGTCACTACCAGCTCGCAGACCCCCACTCGAAAAACGGGGGGGGGGGGGGTCACTACCGGTTCGAATCTCCCTTTCCCCCCCCGAAAAACGGGAGGGCAGTCGGTATAATCGTTCGAAACCCCCCCCCCCCCCCCCCCCCCCCCCCCCCCCGAAAAAATCCCCCCCCCCGGCTCCTGCTGGAACCCACCCCCGCCCCCCCCCCCCCCCCCCCTTCCCCCTGGCAGAACCCCACCCCTCCGGAAAACCGGGGGGGGTGGGGGGGGGTCACTACCGGTTCGACTCCCTCCCCCACCCCCTCCGGTTTTCGAGGGGGAGGGGACGGATTGGGAACCCCCAGTGACCCCCCCGCGGTTTTCCGCCAGCAGCGGTAGAACACGCTCTTTCCGATATTTGAAGCCCTCAGGAGGCGCCAAGAGGCCCCAAGAGGCGCCCAAGACGCGCCCAAAAGGTTCCAAAAGATCCAATACATAACCCACAAGGCCACACGAGGCCCTCAAGAGGCGCCCAAATCGCCTCCAAGAGGCCCCCCAGAGGCTCCCCACGACACCCCAACACATATACAAGAGGCCTCAGACCCACAACCCAGGCACGCTGGCAGGATGGGCCGAAGGCCACTCGGATAACGCCAGCGTCTCAATATGCGTTGGTAATTCCTATCCGTCCCCACATGTTCCCAAATACGCCAAAGCAGCGCCGAGACGCTCTGACGCGACTCTCATATCTCCCATTCTGATGGGGAGGGGGCCAGCGGCAGGGGGCGAAGCCCTTACGGATACTCAGCGCCAAGAGGAGAAACACATTCACGAGAAGAACAACGCGAGAAAAAGAGATGAATGCTCTCGATATCGCTCGCCTCCCGCTTTCGCTCGACCAACACTTTCGCTCGCCTCCTGGCTCCGTTCGCCTCCCGAGGTCTCGCCTCCAAGGTTCGCTCGCCTCCCCTGTTCGCTCACGCGTGTGCGGTCGCCTCCCTTTCGCCTCGACGCCCACTTTCGCTTCGCCTCCCACTTTCGCTTCGCCTCCCACTTTCGCTTCGCCGCTTGGCCTCGCACTGTCGCTTCGCCTCCCAGGGTCGCTTCGCCTCCAACGTTCACCTCCCACTTTTGCCTCCCACGTTCGCCTCTCACTTTCGCCTTCCACTTGCGTTCGCCCTTTCGCCTGCCACGATCGTTCGCCTCTCGCCTCCCACTTTCGCTTCGACTCCAACTGTCGCTTGCCATTCGATCACCTGTTACTTTCGCCTCCCAAGTTCGTTCGCCTTTCGATCGCCTCACACGTTCGCCTCCCACTTTCGCGTATTCCCACTGTCGCATCACCTCTCACTTTCGCCTCCCACCTTCGTTTGCCGTTTGATCCTTCCTCTGTCGCCTCCCACGTTCGATCGCCTTGGGATCCTTCCTTGTTGTTTGTCTCGCTCTCTCTCTCTCTCTCGTCTTACCTCTCTCTCTCTGATGCGCAAAGTTTGAGGCGGAGCGAACGTAGGAGACAAAGCGAAAGTGGGAGGCGAAGCGACATTGAGAGGCGACACGGAAGTGGGAGGCGAAGCAAGCATGGGAGGCGAAGCGAGCATGGGAGGCTAAGCGAAAGCGAGAAGCAAAGCGAAAGTGGGA